AAAAAAAGAAAACAGAACCCCTCCCCCCCCCCCCCCCCAAAAAAAGATTAAAAGTAGCTAAAAATTGCATAAAGAAGCTTAAATTATAAGGAAATGGAGACAGCACATTTTTGCTGAATTAGGCTGAAATAATTTGAAATGAGAGTGTGGAATTAGCTGAAAAAAGCTTAAATTAGCATAAACAGCTATACAGTAGCTGAAATAGTAGAAAAAGCTAAATTTTGCATAAATAAGCTGAAAGGAGCAGAACAAGCTGAAATTAGCAAAAATAAGTAAAATGTTGTAGCAAGCAGAAAGAATCTGAAAGAAGTACAAAACAGCTGAATATAGCTGAAAGTAGCTGAAGAAGTTTAAATGTGCATAAGGAAGCTGAAAGAAGCTGAACCAGAACAAAATATGAAAGGAGCAGTAAAAGGTTGTAAACATATCTAAAGATTTGAAGGATATAAAATGAGCTCAATTCATTTTCTATGAGGAAAAAAAAAAAGGTAGATAAGCCTAAATATTTCAAAAAGCTGAAGTTGCACCAATACCAAAATTCATAGCAGAATTGTCCTGAAAGAGCTGAACGTTTTGATGAATTGCTGAAATAGCACAAAAATTGTTGAACGAGAAAAATGCCGAAAAGCGTACGGAAGAAAAATGGATCAGAAAAATGTGAATGCTTCATAAACGTTCACACAACAAGATGACAAAGCGCAAGAAGCAGATTTAATAGACAGCAACGTTTTTGAATTAGTTTAGAAAAATATATGTTACAACAAGCAAAAGTCATAGCACCAGTCTCCTGAACGAGCTGAACCTTTTGAGACATGCACATCACATATGTAATTAAATTGTAAAAAAAAAAAAACATACGGAAAAAATAGGAAAACAATAAAGTGGGGCTGGTCCTCGCCTCCTGGCTGACTCCAACCCCCTGTGACCCTGAGCAGCGCAACATGGTTACAAAAGATTGATTAGGATAAAAGCTCGGCTCCAACGCCGATTCAATCTGCTCAGTTCTCTGTTTGCTTTCATCTCAAAGGCTCCTGTTGTAAAAGCATCCTACTTGTCTGAAGCAGCGGCAGCTGCTCGTTTCATCGTCTTAAAGAGAAACACAACGAGCTTCTTAACGAGCAGCCGCTTGTTTCATTGCAGGGTTTGAGCGGCCGATCAAAGCTGCTCCTTCTTGTTCCTGAGTCAGCTCAGACAGAGTCAGCTTTCTCACCACG